ATTTTTTCAGAAAGTTGACATCAGAAATATTAACAGATTTTATACAGAAACATTATTCAAATGAAAAATATACTTTGTGCCTCTTTTTAATGCCTTTTTTTTTGGTGAATCGATTTATCATTGTTTCTCCAAACAGGCAAAATTATATTTATGGCTTCCCATTTGCATTTTTTGCGTTTGTTTTATATAGAAACACTATTTTTGTCAATTAATTTTTTTTCAGAAATTTTAAAATAACAAATATGAACAGATTTTTTTGTGTAGAAAATAATTGAAATTTGAGTGTAATTTGACATTATGAGTTTGACGCGCCCTCCCTTACAGAAATCTACTGATTAATTAATTACTGAAAGACAGTAATTAAACACTTATTTGGAATATTAAAAGCACCGAACAACAGTGCTTTTAATACTCAAAATAAATAATTAATTACTGTCATACTTTTCAGTATTTGGCCAGTAGATTTCTCCCTTATAAAAATTTAACACCAATACTGGCCAGTTAATCACTTATTTATTAAAAGTACTCTTAACAATACCTTTACTAAAGTAAGCGCTTAATTGGCCAGTACCAGCGTTAAATTTCTACGAGGGCTGTAAGGAGTTCGAAAGCCTAAAACCGATTTCTGATAACAGATCGCATCCTCGTACGATCCGTAGAGATCCGAGAGCTGATTCGCGAACGGAATGGATCTCACTCACCCGCCTGGGGAAGTCCATTGTTCTGCGATTCCTCTCGAAGAAGCCGTGGGCCCATTTAAACCGCCTCTACCACGCGGACTGCGGAAAGGGACACGCGCGAAGGAGCAGGACGCCCAAGGAGCTCCGCTCGCGTACGATGCGCGGCGGGTAACTGTACCCTGCGGAACAACAACTGATATTCCCCGGACTGAAAACGAGACCGCGTCGGTGCGGTGCCGTACGGCCGAGTGTCCGGAAGTGGGCCCCGGAACTCCGGCCGGCCAGCCGTGACCGGCAAACGGCAGGCGGCCCGGGACGAGCTGCGCGGGCCTCATGAATACGTGAGCGCGAGCGCGCGTCAGGCCCCGTTGAGATCCCGGCATCCCGCTGCCGTGAGGCACAACGCATACACGTGCACACCTGTTCCGAGGTCCGCTGCCTTTCCAACGTTACCTCGCCACGGATAGATAGAGCACGGCGGTTTATTACACGTCCTAGAACACGTAATGGGCTTCTCGCGCGCGCGAGCGCGCAGCCCGTTCCGCTCCTACGTGCGTTAAACGCTTCTCGTAAGAATGCAAGAAGCTGGGATAGATCTTGGCAGAATCAATGGGAATCAATCAATGGGATAAGGAACCGTAATCGTGATTTTGGACAGAGATAGAAGAAGTTGTACAAGAAATGTGTAGACAAAGACTTTAGGCAAAAAGAAATCGTTACGTTAAATAAGGTTTGTGAAAGCCGCTTGATGTGGTGATTCTGTAAAAGTTCAATACAGACGTTTCGATTCCTTCGTTTCGTCTTCAGTGTAGGGTTAATAAAATAATAAGAATTATTACATGTGTGTGTTACACGCAGATATCAAAATTGGTAAAATGTTTGGTGCGTTATGTTGAGGTGTAAATGTTTTTAAATCATAAAAGTTTAAACGAAACTTTTATGGTTTTTAATATAATTTTTTATAAACCGTGTATTTATAAGTTTTTCGAAAAATCTAATATTTTCGAAATACCCCAATAAATTTAGAGGAGTCGTTTAATTCCCTAAATTTTAAACTGTGGACTGATATAAAAAATACGGATCTTTTAGAATTTTGGTGGATGTGTTGAAAAAAAAAAAAAATAACAGTCTCAAGAATAAATGTATGTAAAATTCAAATGAACTCTTTACTACTTTTTTTGTAGAGTTGAAGTTGTTACTTAAGTTACGAAAGATTAAAGTTGCACAAAAGCTTTACAATCATCCTATAATATAAATAACGTAACAATATACATACATAACACATAGTTAACGTATATTTTTTTTTAATAGATGTAAAAAATAATACTCATTTTTTTAAGTTTGATATCGTATATGTACAAAACGTAAATACAGATATATATTATTCTTTGTACTATTCTCTGTCTAATCTTAGCACAGGAGGGTCTCTTTTAATCCAGCATCGAGTTTCCTGAAGCCATATAAATTCAGTTCGATCCGGTCCTTGAAACAAAGTGCGCTCGCTGCGCATTTTTCCCTGACAGCTCGAAGGCGGCAAGCGAGGGATGCGAGTCTCGTCGACAAATGTCAGAGGGCTGCCTCCGTTTTACCACCCTTCGACGGAACGAGAATGGATTGGCGAAACGAGGAGTCGGATCAATCGAGCGGTACATCGAGGTAGAGAGACGCTCATTGCGAACCTCCTTGTAACATACAACGTGCACTTTCTCTTTCCGGACAGTCGAGAACTTGAAGTGGGATGAGAACGATCATCCCGCGGAGAGGACGAAGGATGCTGTCGCTGCTGCAGTTCTGGATCATAACGTTTGCTCCGAAGGAGTTCAGGTTTATTGAAATTAAACATGTTCATAAATCAAATTTCTAAAAGCTACTTAATTCCATCTATAACGATTTCATTTAATTATTCAGTTATTTAGTTTCGATTTTTTAATTAAACCAATTTTATTTTTTACTTTACTTCAATTTTAAATTAAAACGGCC